CCAGCCCTGCAGAAGAGGAGGCCAGAGCTGGCCTGTTTGTTAGCTCCCTTGCTGCTCCATCCCTCTCCCTTCAGTTCCAGAGACTGTGGTCCAGTCATGCTGCAGGACCGATTTCATCAGGTAGCGATGCAGCCGTTGGCCAAAAGTCAGGCTTGACACATCAGCCTGAGTTGCTGTTGGCACCAGCATTGGCTAGGTGCCTTCCTATTGAAACAAAAGAATGGTGGTGCACGTGGGCCCTCTCTGCCAGCATTTATGCTTTTCTGCTTTCCTCTTGGCTGTTGGGTGCTGCCTGCCAAAGGAAGTTGTGGCAGTTTGGTAATGCTTCTAGCTGGAAACCATGTGGGTTGCTGTACAGGCTTAGGTTTTGGTTTGCTTGAACTAACGATAACCATTGTTCAAAAGTTTTCACTGTCAAACCTGTTCAGGAATATCTGCAGCTAGGCTTGTGGTTGTTTGCATAGTGCTTCTGTGATCAAATACAATCACTAGTTATATCTGAACTCCACTCCAACCTCTTCTAGCTTCCCTTTTTTAGTATCATTTAGAATAATCAGCCTGTCTTTTTCTTCTTTCACCTATCTGACTTCCTTCCTGAAGCTTTGTTTCACCACACTTGACACTTTTCCTTTGTATTCCTTTTGTCTTGTTCCAGTGGTGCACTGTACACCTGGAAAAAGTCCATTTCGTAAAAAAATCTTTCAGTGCTTCCCAGTGTTTAAAAATCCGTTCTTCATCAAGGCCAAGATGTGCTTGCCTTAAACAAGTAGAACAGTCTCACCGTTCTGTTGTCACCACTGCCTTTCATTAAGCCTCCAGTTGGGTAGCTTCAGAAAGTTCTTAAAATCTCTCTAGTTTGCAGTTCCCAATAGAATCATGTGAATTGTGAACTTCTGACCTGCTCAGAAAAAAACATTGTTGCCTAAAATTTAACTTAATAGATTATTATTTTTGTTTACAACTAGTTCATCTGCTGTAGAAAGCTTAATCAGAAGAGTGTATTATCCTTAAAGTTTCTGCTTTTGCACAAAAATTGCACAACCCCATTCACCTAATGGTTAAAGTTAAACTTGTATTTTTTGTCTATCTTACCAGTTAAAAAACATTTAAAACTACCGATCTTAAAACTATGCTGTTCAAATGACACAACTGAAATCTTAAGCTAGCACCATCAAAATGGGAATATTGTGTGTTTTAGGATCTGCATTAGATTTTGCAAATCTGTAAATATTTCTTGTATAAATTACATGGTATAAATTCCCAGCAAGAATAATTCTGGTAATTTTGTACCTTAAGTTACAGAGAAGAAAATTTTCAAAATATTTTATATAAACTAGTGTTTCTTTCTTTAATGTAGTGCCTATGACTGTGTGATACCTCCCATGGAAAAGGCTGTAGTGAAAACAGACATTCAAATTGCACTTCCTTCTGGATGCTATGGTCGAGTTGGTAAGTAAATAGGCTATAAAAAGGCTGCAGAGTCATTGTAGAACAAGTTTGACGCCATCTTCACGCCTAAAGCTTTCAGAATTAGTCTACATAAAAAAGAGGTGTCACGTGGCTGTGTGATTTATTAAGCCTTGTAATAGACGTTTCTCGCTAAGTACATTTGAGGTTTGGTGTATGTCAAATGACAAAAAGATGATTAGCAAAAATTTTCATAATCTACATACAGCTTTATAGGCTATGCAATAGTTTATTATTTCTCTGCAGTTTCAGAATTCAAATCACAAAGACCAATAGGTAATGGACATACAGAAAATACACCCCTGGATATTTAAAAATTAACCCTGAAGTAAGCGTATTAGTGTAGTAGAATTTGACTACTTTTTGTGACAGAATACTTGAGAGAACCTGTACAAGATATTTTGTTAGGTTTTGCACATTCTTTTTCTGAATTATGTATAAATTCTTGAAGTAAAAAAAGCAATAGCCACTGTAG